AGGTTGCGCCGCATAGAGCCAGCCACGCACAGGGGCCCAACAACCCAACAAGTGGGCAGTTGGGCCGCGCGGCTCCCCGAGCAGCCTCCTCACCTCCAGGCCGCACAAGCAGCCACACAAGTCAGCTTTGGGAGCTCTCGGCGACGCCCAATGCGTGCGCCGGTAGGGGGGAGTGTGCGCGCGCATGTGTGAGATGTGGATTGTGGCAGGCCTGCTGCTGCTGATGAGAGTTGCTCTGTGTGTGGCGCTGCGCTGGCGTGCTGCGCGCGCGTGCTGTGCGCGTGTGCGTGTTGGATCCGCGCGTGCGTCTGCGTGTGCTGCGCGCGCGCCGCCGGTGTGTGCTGTGTGCTGTACTCTGCTGTGCGCCTGTTTGTGAGTCTTTGAGGCGCAGGCCTGGCTGGCAGGGCTGCGCGGTGGGCTGCGGCGCGCTGCGGGTGGTTGTGCGCCTGCCTGGTGGTGTGCGGCGGCCGCGCAACCCGCCCGACCGGGTCGTCGGCGGCCCAGGGCGCGAGCATGCGGTCGGCGCTGCATGTGAGGCTGCTGCGCGGCTGGCGCGTATGTTTCCGTGCAATGAGGGACGCGCGTATGTGTTCACGCTGCGGGCGCGGGCGGGCGCGGGGGGCGGCGTGGTCTCACCGCGGTCCGACGCCGATTGGTCTTCGGCGTGACGAGGGCGGGCGCGCAAAGAGGCCTTGCCGCCATCGCGTTGCCGCGAAGGAAAAAGAATTGTAATGTCATTGCGACCATCAGCAGCGTTATGCCGCTCGTAGGGCCGTCCGAAAAGACGTACACGAACGTCGCGTTCACCCGCCCGCCGCCGTCGAGCCACGCCAGCACCGCCTCCTCATCGCCTCGCTCAGTCGCTTGCACGACCTCCTTTGGCACTGCCTCGCTGCTCGGCTCGGCCTCCGCGCCTCCCTCGCCGCTCGAAGCAGAGGCCGCGGCACTCGCACCGACCGCCGCGCCTGCGCCGCCTGCCGACGGTGCCTTGCTCCGGCTCGCCGCCACCGCCCCGAGGTACGTCCTGAAGGCCCGGACGCACTCGGCGTGGCCCCTCTCCATGGCCCACTGCAGCGCCGTCTTGCCGTTCACGTCGCGCAGCGTCATGTCTGCGCCCGCCCGCAGCAAGCGGAGCACGACGGCGGGGCGGTTGAAGTAGGCGGCGTACATCAGCATGGTGCCGCTGGAGCTGCCGCACCGCTGGTTGATCTCCACGCCGTGCCGCAACGCCAGCTCGACCAGCTTCTCGCGGCCAATCCCGGCGGCGAGACTCAGCGCTGTGGCGCCGTCGCTAGACTGCAACGAGACATCCGCGCCGCGCTGGAGCAGCGCCTCGACCAACCCCTCGTGGCCCTTGGCCATCGCGATCATCAGCAGCGTCATGCCGCCCGCACGCTTGCCGTCCGAAAAGACGAACTCGAGCCTCGCGTTGACCCGCCCGCCGCCGTCGAGCCACGCCAGCGCCGCCGCCTCGTCGCCTCGCTCAGCCGCTTGCACGACCTCCTCTGGCACCGCCCCGCTGCTGCTCAGCGCCGCCCCCGCGCCGCCCTGCTCGCCGCTCAAAGCAGAGGCCGCGCACTTTCTCCCGGCCGGGCTTTCTTTTCGCGGCAAATCTTTTGCAAAGAGCAAGCTGGCACTCGAGCCGCGATGATGCGCATAAGCGTACAGATACCTCAAGGCCTGCTCCCCGGACAGGCGTTCGGTGTGACCCTAGATGGGCAGATATGTCGCATAATGGTGCCGGCCGTCATTCCGCCTCGCCGAGTGCTGACATTCGACATCGCAAGGCCCAGCTTTGCCGCCGCCGCTGCTGCGAACCACGGTGCTCTCCCGCCTCGCGATGCTGGGTCTTCCCCCGCCCTGACCACCACCGGCAGCCAGAGGGCGGCAGCGCTCGGCGCAGCGTGCGCCGGCCGCAAGCGAGCGATCGAGGCGGATCCTGCGGCGGGCGCGGCTTCGCAGGAGACGAGGGCGGATATGCCGGCGCGTGGCACAATTCGCGAGATGATTCTTGAGACAGTCCGTCATCCTGATGGCGTCTGATGCAAAAAGATTGATTGAGGACCCTTGCTCATCGCACTCACAGACACGAGTCAGGAGGAAACTAAGAGTAACGTGAACCTACACAGAGTGAACGACACCGCGGGTGCCATTCTCGAGTACTATCCACAGTATACGTAAGTGCGCACCCTCACATGCTGTCCTGAGTGCCGCCCTCACGGTCCGCGGGCGTGCGCGTGTGCGCACGGACCGCGTTCAGCCGGTCATGTCCATCCCGGCCGTGTCCATGTTGATCGGCGTGCCGGTCATGAAGGGGACGTCGAACTCGGCGCACACGTTCGTGTTGATGTCGGGGCTCGAGCACAGCTTTGCGCCTACTCTCGCACGCTCCTCACTGGCCTTCTCATTCGTTCCCGTCTGTCGGGCTGCTCGGCACAGCTCCGCGCCCAAAAAGTCGGTGCCGGCGATGGACGCGCCGCCAAAGTTGGCGTCGACGCAGTTTGCGCTGCGGAAAGACGCCCCGCGCAAGTCCGCCTTGATGAAGTCCGCCTTGGTGGCCTCGGCGCCGGTAAAGTCGCTCCCCGGCGCGAGCGCCTCGCCAAAGTCCGCCTCGCCGAGGAAGGCGTTGACGAACCTCGCGTTGGTGAGGTTGGAGCCTAGACCGCATTGCTGACTCCCTTATTGTGGGGCGACTTTAGTGCGGGTCAAATGGACACTCGGCGTTGGTGAGGTTGGAGCCTCAGATCCTACGACTACGACGACTACTGCTACTGCTACGACCGCGTCGGGCGCCCTTGAAGGATGCGCCCGAGCCGGGAAGCTGCTTGAAGGCGACGCGGTCGAATTGGAGCCCGCCCGCCTACCCCAGGCACTCCACAACACGAGGAGTCAGGTGGGTACGAGCAGTCGCCGTCGACGTGCAGGGAGCCCGCGTCGCCTGCACGAACTGGAAGGACAAGTCGCCGGAGAAGGTCGTGCCCGACATGGTCGTCTCGCCTGGGAAGAGGCGGACGCCCAAGGGTGGGCGATGGCTAGCGCACCACACCCCTCTCCTTAAAAGTCCCCGTGTGGTTGCGGCGTGCCGTCCTCCCCTCCCTCCCTTGGGTTGTCTGTTTTCTTTCTATGGTCGTCTCGCTGTCGAATTGGCACGAGTCGAGGATGGCGTCGGTGAAGGACGCCTCGCGGAAGGACGCGCCTATGCAATCTCGGGCGATCTCGCGTGATCTCGCGTG